AAAAAAAAAAAAGTTCAGCATTGGTGACAATAAATAACAATGTATTAATTTAAAAAGACAGAATCAAACACGAGAAGTGGTAATGGAAGGGAATACCGGATTCTCTGAAGTGCAGAGCACACACACATGCTGCTGACAAAACTGTCCTAAGACCAGGGAGTCCCAGGGAAGAGCACAAGGCCCCCGTGCCTCAGTGCAGCGAAGCAGAGGACACCAAGGCCCCCAGAGGGCTGGAGTGCGACACAGTCACAGCCATGGAGGCCCTGGCTGTGGGGAAAAGGTGATCCTACGCGTCCACAGTAAGTGCACCCAGTGAAACTGAGCAGCTGAGTCGCCTCGTGTGTCATTTGGGTTGGAGACATAGACACTCGTTACCACACAATGGTTTTAAATTTACAAAAGCGAATTAAGTAAATTTAGATGGTTTAGATGGTTTATGCCTTGGTTACTGGGAAAAGTATCTGTCATGGTGTCTCTCATGGCAGGGTGTGGAGTGTCTACTACCACCATAGTACTTTGCTATGGTCCTTAACACAAGCAAGACACCAACAAGGGGGCAAGGGGTTGCGGCAGCAGCCTGTCCCCTGGGGGTGGGGTGGCAGAGCTCCGTGCAGGGGTGCGGGGGACTGAGCCTGCGCAGTTCTCAAACACCTGCTTCCTGCTTGCCTTCCACACAGGTCGCTGAGGCACTGACAGTATTCATACGCATGCAACAAACACCGCAAAGCATGAAACTATGCCTAGAACAACCACCTCATTGATTCTCCAAGTTGTGCAATATTAACCAATGCTGGCCCAGTTTAAGCAGCCCATTTTTTTTTTTTTTAAGGGAATAAAGAAATAGAAAAAGAAAGTTAGAAATGACATAGAATTTCATTAAACAAAATGATAGGAATATAACAATGGTTGTTATATTGCATACTGTTGTCTTCAAGTTAGTTGTTCAGACCTGATATAAGCATGCAACACAGGTCAAATTAAAAAGAAAAAAAAAATTAAGCAGTAACTGTTCTATTCGACAGACCTGTACAAATCACCAGTACAATTCTCCAAGCTATCCTGTGTATATACAATGGTTACTATTTCTGCAATCCTGTTTCTAAGGTTGAAAGGTAATGTGACTAGTATATTTAGCAAATTCTACAACTAGTTTCCTGTAAACATTGAATTATACAATGTAAATAAAAGTGTCTCAACTAAATACAAAACAATACCGTGTTAAGATTCTTCCCTAGAAATACAACACTTGGGAGTATAAGGGACTTGGCTCCACGCTGGAGAAGCACATGCTCAATGCGTGCTCTCCCAACCACAGAACCCGGAACCCGCTGTGCAGTCAGTTACACTCACGC